TGGTTGGTTATCGTATGCCTACAACTACGGGTTGAAAACGAAACGAAGTCGATTTTTCTGCGCAACCTGGAGGACTGCTGTTTAATTCAATAATGATACGACATGGGTCAGACAATGAGTGTATTTATATATATCAAATATTTAGCTGTTCAAACATTATTAACTTGTAGACAACCTACTATTTGTCATTATATCATACTTGATCGTGCCTGTAAAAATGGCATGCATTTTTCATGTAAATTTATGTTTACATGAAAATATAAATTATTGTTATTATTAAATGACATCAACTCTAAATCTATCCTTAGGTATAAACCAACCTTAATCCTGACCCTAAACCTAACACTAACCCTAACAACACCTTTATCCTCACCGTAGACCTAACCCTAACCCCAATATTTAATTTAACCCTAATCCTAACTCTAACTAGCTATTAACGCATTGTCCAGACAGTACTTAAAAACGTGATATGGGTGCAATTCGCTCCTTAGTTGGTGAATTGCATTGGTATTTCAGCTATGATAATGATAGATGCCGTTAGCCAACGACTAGAACGCGTTCTAGGTCACTGGGGTGTTCGCACTTCTGAGACGCTATTGTTGAACTTCACCGAAGAATATTACTGGGTAACTTAATCAAAGAAATATAAAGTTTGAAGAATTGATCTCTTTCAGTTGGTTGTAACGGATGGATAAGAGAGTCACTCGTATACTATTTGCTTTCTACAAAAGATAAAGTGTGAGAGATATTTCGGAAGTTCTACAATTCCTCAAATTTGTCGTGAAATATAAGGACGATTATATAGAATTTCACCAGCTCTATGATAGATAGTTCCCTCTCCTGTTGACATATTCAGTGTGCCTGAAATGGGGAATTGCTTACCAGAGGCATGACCAGTTCACCTGTTATATATACACCCTCAGATATTTCTCAAAGCTTTTGAAGGTATTCGAAGGAATATAATCTCAATCTCTGTTTGAAAAGATCACATTCGGTTTCTCCAAATGGATCTGGCGGTGACGAAAACTGCAAAGACTGGTCCAACACCACCCCAACGGAGGCGAATTGATACAGATGTTGCGGATAGAATGCTTAGTGGACTTTATGATGACTACATAGCTGTAAAAACTCTACAACTGTAATTTTTTCACTGGATTATTACCAGCTCTCTTTAGTGTAGATATGTTCTCTTTCATGCTGAATTATTTTTAACTTGATTGATTATTGTTTCCTTGCAAATATATGCATTTATGTCGACTAACTTTGTCTCTTTTACTTGTCATTTTGAGGACATTGCAGAGTTAACGAGAATGATAGACAACGTAGTAATAATTGTGTGAAATGCGTCAGTCTTAAACTGTTATTATTTCCTCAATGCGTCATCAAGCCTTGCATAAAATGCCTTAGTTAAGTTTGATCCGGTTGCGTATAATATTAGTATTCACTGTTGTCAAGAAAATAGAATTTGAACATGTGACCGCACTGTAATAATGAAATATAACCTAGCAAACGTAGGTTCCTGTACGTACACGACTTGTGTTGGTAGTCTAGGCACTTCAAGTACGTAATGAAACGTATATCCTGGTATAAGCATAAGACGTGGGCACTGAATATATACTGAATAAAAATCAGTATAAGATATTCAAATGTCTATTCGATTTCACCAGTGTACATAAATGAAGTAAAAGCTTGTGTGAGCGACTTAATATGATTATGAGCAGCAATAGTTTTTGCTCGAAACGTCAGTATCAGTCAATATTACTGTATAACACTGTGATTTATCAAAATAGAATCTTATCTGTAATGGAGTTAAACGTATATCCTATTTATTACATATAGTCTGTTATTCTTATGTCGCGTTTAACACCACTGTCTCAAAGGAAATCATTAGGTAATGGGGACGTGGAATGTTCGTAAAATGTACGAAGCTGGAAAGGCTGCCCAGGTAGCCGCAGAAATGAGGTAACAAATAGATAGCAATGCAATACTGCTCAACGACAGGAGGCAAGAGTCAGGCAACAGATCATTTATTAAGGAAATCAACGCATATTTATATATTTTCATGTACATTACTATGGATATTTAAGCAAACAAACACAGCCTTCCGATTGGTTGTTTCTCACGTAAAGTTAATCTTTCATCTATTTGTGACTGTTTCTTGAATGTCAGATCATCTATATGTTAACTGCATCCGCCTACGCAAAGTCTGCTGTGGTCGGTTTTCAATCAATCTTTGTTCACATTTTCTCACGACAAATCTCGGGAACGTAAATATTGACGTAAATTACTGTCTACCAATTTGGCTAGTAGACAGCCCTCACCACACTGCAACTACAGTTTGCAAAAAAATCTCAGAGCTTAACATCAGAAGGGAGGGAGGGTGGTGCATGCTGATCAGCAGATATGGTAGTGGTCACAAATGTGAATCGCTCCAATCTGTGGGACAGCAACATGCATTCTTTGACAGCTCGAGAATTGAACATTAGTCTGGACCCTCAACAAAAATAATAATAAGGGTTGTACAGATCTAATTATAGATAAAAGAAGTGCTTTGGCTCCTAATATCTACAAACCTGTTCAGCTTCTTGTCAAGATGCTACCCATTGGGCCCCACAGAAATTCGTGGGGCATCTTACAGGTCAGCATGTTCTACGGCTTCTAATCTTCCAGATCTTTGAATTCACTCCTCACTTAAATATCACTTACCTACCTCACAATAATCTTTTTATTTACCCACCGTTATACTCTATCTGATCTTAACTACCTAGGCCTTTATTGAAGCTGAAACATGCTCTTTATTCATATTTGTTGCTTGCTTTAAGTCTAGGTTGCTTTGATTAATAACACAACACCAATGTTTGAACAAAGCTATATTTTCATCGGAAACGTGATAGTTTCCATGCTTAGACCAATATGGTTAGCATTAAACATTAATAATAATTTATATTTTCATATAAACATAAATTTACATGAAAAATGCATGCCATTTTTACAGGCACGATCAAGTATGATATAATGACAAATAGTAGGTTGTCTACAAGTTAATAATGTTTGAACAGCTAAATATTTGATATATATAAATACACTCATTGTCTGACCCATGTCGTATCATTATTGAATTAAACAGCAGTCCTCCAGGTTGCGCAGAAAAATCGACTTCGTTTCGTTTTCAACCCGTAGTTGTAGGCATACGATAACCAACTAATATTGAGGTAAGTACAACGTTTACAAGGGATAGTAAGCTGTTTTAGAAAAGTAAAGATGCAAAGGTGAATCATTAAAGTGTAATGAAATAGGTAAGAGCAATGTATCATTAATAGATGCATTCATAAAGGAAACACATTAGGAGACTATAATCCCTAGGCTGACAAGGTTCATTTGCAATGTATAATGCTACCCATATAGGTCTTACTATCATGATATCCACTTTTGGTTTAATACAATTATTCACAAGCTGGTTCTTTTAATTTCATACCTTTTTGTGCATTTGGTGCACAACCGTACCCTATAGAGAATAGGAATAGAATAAGTCGAATCGAATTCATAAAGAGCTATAAAATGTTAGGTTTAGTGGAATATAATGAGCAAGTGAAGACGTTATTAGAAAATGAATAAGATGAGACATTGTGAAGTGATATTCGAAGATACGACAAAAGAAAGCATGTTAATTTATAAGATGCCCCATAAATCTGTGCAGAGCCCACGTGGTAGCATCTCAGCAATAGGCTGACCCAATGGTGTATGTTTAAAGGTAGAAGCATGATCTGTCTAGGCGATCATTATTATCTTTTTCAAGATAAAGATTCAAGCCCTCATAGAGATCTCGAGCCGACAAATTGCATATTGCTGTTCCTGCAGAATGGGGTGATTCACCTTAGTGTCCACGACCATAACTACTGAACAGCATGCGGCACCCTCCCTATTATTTCAAGTACTATATAGCTTCTTCTCCTTGTATTTATCTGGTAAATATGCTTCCAATAATTATTGCATTTTATACAATTTTGCAGAATTTTCTCCTCTTCCTGAAATAGCGTTCAATCATCAGGCGCGGCATAGCACACACCCAGATATACGCTGTAGGATGGTAATTTATAACACTACTGATCGTGCCTGTAAAAATGACATGCATTTCTTGCAAACTTACTCGTTTATACGAAATATAAATTATTATTATTACTTTACTCTTCTTGCGTTATCACTTCGTATCAGTACGCTCTTACATGATCACATCAACACTTAGACTTGTATATTGATTGACCACGCCACTAAACTTCATCGATGATTTTGGTTGTCATAAAATACTGCAACTTAATTATTAGATAGGCCTTCGATGTGCACATCGCCTGTTTACCGTCTACTAGAGGGAGCAACCACTCAAAAGCACGTCCATAATAGTAAGCCATTATGCCCAAATTCAGTCACGTGCAAATATGACATCTTACACGAATATTACATCTTGTACACTGACTGGAATCACTTTGCAACTCGGAAAACAGTAAGTATTAATAATGTATGAGTGGAATGCAAAATTTCCAAAGAAAAATATTTATTTCAATAAATACACTCATAATATCATAAATATGTCATCATTCACACACGTATTATCCCTTTTAATCCCATTTGAGTGTCTGAATGTACTGAGTGATTGCGGAAGTGATGACCATAATCTGGAAATAAAAAGTGACAGAACTTCAGTCAGGAAATGATGAGTTAAATAAAAAAAGATTTCAAACACAGTACATTCCAATTAAATGACTGTCTCTCTTCACCATTATCTGACCAAATAACCAACTCATCAGTTTTCTTTCTCAATGTGAAACTTTGTAAAGATCATGAAATCATCATAATTACCTCGGTATTCAACACCCTTCTCCTCATTATTTACGTAAAATATATTTAAATAATGGGAATTATTTAGCGTTTTCTGTCGTGGTCAATTACGCGTGCGCGCTTCGTGTAGGACGTTACAATCTCTCAGATTCAGAATCAAATTCATTGGTTGAGGATAGAAGGCTTGCACAGCCTATGTTAATCCTTTTCTAGCAAATTTCTGTGGTTGTCCAAACCCTTCTTGAACGAATCAGTTGAGGTTGCAGACACTACTTCGTCTGGGAGTCGATTCCAAGAGTTTATGACTCGATGTGAGAACCAGCACTCAACAGCAATATGATTTCTTCTTGGCTTTTGAACTCTCCTGCTATGTCCTCTAAGGTGTTCCGACCGCCTGGCGGGAAGAAAAAGAGAGAATAGGTCAGGTCCGAAGCATGCATTATTTAAAATTTTAGACATCGCGATTAAATCTCTGTAGCGGTAAATAATTCCCCAAAATTATTAACCACAGCAATCATCACTCAACATTGGATGCTGACCGCCACTGTTTAAGTCGACTTGTTTAGCTGAAGGCTTACGATCAAGCATCCCCGCCATTTGGTGCTCCGTCGTGTCACGTGCGTGCACGATTACTAGCTAGCTAAGCATTCATTCCTACCCGCGATTTGGTCCCAAAATATATATCGTATTTGGACGACAAAATCTGGTCTTTTGCTTTACCATTTGGTACTCGAAGAACGAACACTATAGTGGTTGTTGGTATAAGATCTTGCGTTAGTATAATCCGTACAACTCGCGAACGTCAATACCTACAGCCCACCTAAACTGGTGAGCCCTACCACGAACTACATCTTCAATTCACACGCAGATAAACCCGGTGAGTTCGTTCCTTTTTGTGTTTATTCTTGTACTATATTGTTATCGGCATACTTTTCGTCATGAGTGATCTTAGCCCCAAGGTTATTCGGATTCGCTCAACCGCCAAAACAATCCAGCTAGTACCATATTGGCCAGATAATGCTGAAACGTGGTTTCAGATTGCTGAGTCTGATTTTTGTGAACATGGCATAACTGATCAACGTTCACAGTTCCTTGCAGTTATTCACGCCCTACCGCGGGAATTCAGCAGGTGCGTAACTCTGCAGATGTCGGTAAGTAACTCGTACGAGTTGCTCAAAGAATCCATCCTCAAGAGAAACGTTCTCACAGATCGACAACGTCTGGATGAGTTATTTCGTAACATCGAGTTAGGAGATCAGTCAGCCGTGAGCATGCTGGCAAGAATGAAAGAGATCATTGGCCAAAGTCAGTTCGATGAAGGACTGTTTAGAGAACTATTTTTATCCAAACTGCCACAGTCAGTTCAGACTGTACTTGTGACACTTCAGGGTGTTCTCATAGATGATTTAGCTGTCTCTGCAGATAGAATTCTAGAGATAACGAAACGGCCAGTCACCGAAGTATACTCTGTTACCGAACAGACTTCGAAGAAGGATTCTGCAATGATAGAGTTAATCAACTCCGTCCAGCAGATGCTTAGGTCAAACAAGCCTAGCAATTCCTCCTACCGTCGTTCTAAATGCCCTCAACGGCAAAGTGCACGTGGACGATCTAAGTCCAACACACGCTCTCTCAAAAATCCTGACTGGTGTTGGTATCACAACACCTATGGCAAGGAAGCAAAATGTTGTCGAAAACCTTGTGATTTCGGCAAAGCCTCCAAGTCTGTGGGAAACTATCCCGCCGGCACGCGTTAGCGGCAACCGTCGCCGGTGGCACTAGCCGCTTACTTTACATCCATGATGTAATTAGCCAGACTAGATATCTAGTCGACACAGGCGCCGAAGTCAGCGTCCTTCCTGCTACAGCAGCAGATCGACAGAAGGATCCTAACTTCAACCTACAGGCTGCAAATGGAAAACCAATTGCAACCTATGGTCGGAAATACGTCTACCTGAACGTAGGTTTACGCAAACCTATTCAGTGGATTTTCCTTCTCGCTGACGTCACAATGCCCATCATTGGCACGGACCTACTTAATCATCATGATTTGCTCGTAGACGTCCGCCGTAAACGACTAATTGACAACACTACTAGTTTGTCTATCAAAGGCATAACTTACAGTGGCCCCAGCTTGTCAATCGTTAAGATGAAAGCAATCCTCGATCCAACTTTTCAACCGATTGTTGACAAATATCCGGAACTGAATTGCCCATCTAACGACCTCCCGTGTATAACCAGCAATGTTATGCACCACATCATAACCTCAGGACAGCCCGTGACATCTAAAGCACGACGACTGGCCCCTGACAAACTGAGAATTGCCAGAAACGAATTCGATCATATGCTCACCCTTGGCATCATTCGGCCATCGAATAGTCCATGGGCATCCCCGTTGCATATGGTACCGAAAAAGGATAGCAACGATTGGCGACCCACTGGTGATTACCGGCGAGTGAACGCCAAAACTACCCCCGATTGCTACCCATTGCCTCACATACACGACTTGACGGCAACGTTATCTGGAGCATCTATATTCTCCAAAATCGACTTGGTTAAAGCATATAACCAAATTCCCATGGCAACGGAAGATATTCCGAAAACGGCTATCATCACGCCTTTCGGACTTTTTGAATTCCTACGTATGCCATTCGGCCTCCGGAATGCGGCCCAAACATTCCAACGCTTCATCAACGAAGTATTTCGCGGTCTCGACTTTGTATACGCATACTTAGACGACTGCCTCATTGCCAGTCCAGATAAGGAAACTCACCTTAGACACTTGGACTTGGCATTTGAAAGGTTACGCCAACATGGTGTTACCATCAATATACAGAAGTGTCAAATAGGCGTTGACTCACTCGATTTTCTGGGTCACACTATTGACTGTCAGGGCATTCGCCCACTGGCTACTTCGGTCGATCACTCTAAAAAAACGCGTTCTGGACGTCACGTTAGATTCCCAGAATACCTTCACACCTATTTCACATAACTGAGTGACACATCAATTTTTTTTTATGTTGCGTCATTTAACACAAGTAAACGATATTTTTCCTATAACCGTACATAAAATTAAATTAGATGTATATATATTTTTTCCCGATATTTTGAACTTTACATTATTTTACTGTATAGTAGATGCATGTCATATTCTTTTTGGTAAAAAAACGCTTATTTGGTACATTTTTCTTGACAAGGTTCTCAGCATTCTTGTTTTCTTTTCCAGGTGCAACGGGCACTGGACAGGAAACAAACGAAGCACGGGATCCAACGAACAACATCCAGGAAGCTATGTACAGACACCCTATTAGCATAGGCAGACAGACCAGCAGGCTCTCGATCAAGCCGCTCGGAAGATTTTTTTCACCCATAAGGGAACCATCGAGACTTTTTTACTTCCGGCTGGTCATGTCTTAGGGTCCTCACAAACCCACTAGGGGGAAAGTGAGCTGTAGCGGTAAATAATTCCCCAAAATTATTAACCACAGCAATCATCACTCAACATTGGATGCTGACCACCACTGTTTAAGTCGACTTGTTTAGCTGAAGGCTTACGATCAAGCATCCCCGCCATTTGGTGCTCCGTCGTGTCACGTGCGTGCACGATTACTAGCTAGCTAAGCATTCATTCCTACCCGCGATTTGGTCCCAAAATATATATCGTATTTGGACGACAAAATCTGGTCTTTTGCTTTACCATTTGGTACTCGAAGAACGAACACTATAGTGGTTGTTGGTATAAGATCTTGCGTTAGTATAATCCGTACAACTCGCGAACGTCGATACCAATCACCCCTAAATCTCCTCTCTGCCTACGGTATGACAGTGAGAAGGGATTCAAACTGTCTAGTCTTTCCTCGTATGGTAAGTTAGTCATGCCGTGAATCATACGTGTTGCCTTCCTTTGAACCCTTTTTAGAATGTGTGAGTCCCCTTTCAGACAAGGACTGGCGGCCTGGAGACAGTTTTTCAGTCTTGACCTCACCAGAGATGTATATAAGGAGGTGAACATATCTCTCGTGGTCCTAGTGAAGGCTCTGCGAATTGCCCATAATGACCTGAAACTACGTGCAGCCACCGCGCGACAGTGTGCTGTAGTTTTTAAGTCGCGGCTAATTATGACACCTGAGTCCAAGTGAGTCTGAACTGATGGAAGTGTTATTCCCTCTAGTTCGTAGGAGCGTTTTCCGTCATACACTAATCCAAACAGACCCACACGCATACACATATGTGTATGTACGTATGTATGCATGTTTATAAACGTAGATACTTTAAGAATATTGACTAATAGAATTACATTGCAGTCACACTGAGGAATCTACGTGTGACTTCTTATTGTCGCTTTGACTGTGATAATATAAGGGGTCAAGGTATTTGCTAATAATGTCACTCATGTGACTCGTATGAGTCACACTATATCGTGTAACAAAGATGGTGTTATATGTTGGTTCATGCTTACTGACCAATCAGTGGAGTTTATGAAAACATTAGTGATTAATGTTAATTGCAGCGCAACCAATTTTTTTTGTTCAATTGGCTTACAATCACACATTGTGCGCGCACTTTTAAACTGTGCACGATGCAGGTAAGTGGTCGCTGTGGTTCAGTTTCAATTTTTCTCCTAGTCTAACACTAAATACCCTATATTAAGCCTAAAAACATTACGTCAGCGTAACCTACGATTGACCAACCATCGCAGCACATTTTACAGGAGGTACAAACGCAACTATGAGCAGTTACTAGCGTTGACGTCAACGGAGGCTGTCACACGCTGTCCTTCCTGTTGAAGTCGAGTCGTCTTCAGTGAACACTGATACCATGACCATCAAAACCGAGGTAGTGCCATCGCCACCTTGCAGCAGCCTAACACCAGCTGCTAGTACTTCACGAATGTGCCCACAAGTCTCTTCTGAACATGATGAAATGACAAGTATGCTACTCAATATTATGGTGACCGCGAACATATCACAAGCAGCCGCTAACAGAATCTTGGAGATATTCCGTGCGAAATTGCCTCAACTACCAACAACTGTTAGAAGTGTCCTCAGAATGTGTGGCTTTTGCGAGTCAAGACTACTTGGAGACGGAATGTATTGCCACATTGGTCTCCAAAAATGTTTGCAGCACTACATGGAGATGTCTGTGGTTGAAAGTGCCTACAACAAGATTGATCTGCAGTTGAATGTTGACGGATTGTCCATCTCTAAGCCTTCTAACCAGCAGCTATGACCCTTGTTAGGTAGAAGTACAGCACCACTCCTCAGTAGTGTATCCCTGATAGGTATATACGGTGGTCCTAGCAAACCGAGCAGTTATAAAGAGTTATGCAATGACTTAGTAACTGAGCTAAAAGATGCTTTTGAGGAATTAAACATTGATATGGTTAAGTGCTTC